CTTTAAATTAGGGTTGCATGAAAACATAGGGATTGTTTGTTATGCTCAAAACCCACCATGTCACACCTCTGGTCAAAGCCATGAACATCCTTCTCGAGATCAACAATCTAGCGTTTTAGTTTGACCTCCCAAACACCACAATTCATATGGGCAGTTTCAATTTCATTAAATAGTTGGATACGACGGTCAACAATGACCAGATAAAACATGGCTTATGCAGCAACATATGACATTTTATGAGCCAAGGAAAGGTTTCCTATGACCTCTATATCGGCAATGGTAGTAGGTGCAAATGCATGGCAAGCTGATTCTAAAGCATTGGCGCGGATGGACCAATGGGAATCATTCTACAAACTCCAAGTAGGAACAAACATATTAGATCCAAGATCACCCCCCAGGAACACCTGCGCGAGGTGGGGTTTGATGCAACTCAACACCCCCAGGACCCTCGGGGGGAGATAGATTAAAAGAATATTGCAGGATAGGTTGAACAGAAAGAATGGGCTACATAATCGCCCCTTAATCCCCTCAGAGATCATAACAACCGCCTCAGGCATGGAGGAGATCGAGTTCAATAAACGAGTAAAGTTTTGCCTCGATTGAACTCGCCTCCAGATGTTAAATATATCGGTGGAGGTCTCCCCCATGGACAGGACAACCTTCCTCTTAGCCATTACTTGTCAGACTTCAAAAATAATTCCATCCTTGATGTCCTCGACTACCTCTATATGGCCAGAACCGCCAGCAGAAGATGCAACAACCATCGTGATATGCTAGGCCATTACGGGTCATTCCCCAACTATCGTTAAGGATCAGTCCATAACCAGAAACACTGAACGAATAGTCACGGCGAGCTAATTAGCTCGGTAGAGCGGGGGAAGCGTTTCAACAAGATCAGTCTCTCGAGGCTCTAGTTTCCCCTGATACAACTTCTGTAGGATTTCATCCATAGAGAGAGGAGATTCAGAACCTGTAAAAGTAAAAACCAGCTAAGAATATATAAACAAAATCAACATTACCAAGCATGAAACCTTCTTTCCTCTTTTCCGAAAAAGGAGGGAATAAGGATGAAGCAGGAAGAATAGTAGGAAAAGAAAGCATAACTACCGACCATCAATAACATTGTAAATGATGGGCATCTTCCCCCTGCACCTCCAAGAAGGGCTCATCCCAACATCGGCAAGAAAAACATTTGAATACTCCTTAGGCATAACCTAAATGGTCTTCAAATGATCAACAATAGCCTGGTTGTGAGGGTATAGCTTAGGAGTAACATCGGCAAGTTGTTCGCCCGGTATCACCTATGGCCGACTCGATCCTAGTTGACCCACAACCACTTATCTTGCCATTTCTTTGGGGTCTCGCCATCAGGAACCAAGGTGTGCTGTCAAACCCCCAAACCAAACAGTGGAAACATCGGGAGGTGGAGGACTTCATTTGTAGTATCACAACACATTCATCATAGTAATCAAAGTACGAAAATCCATTGTATTTAAAAAGTATAAATAGTTACATGTACTACTAGAAAAACAGCCTTTTACGATGCGGAATGTGTGTCGTAAAATGCTCAGACATGCGCAAATGTGTGTCGAGGAAGGCCTTGTTATAACGAGAGACGACAGGCTTTTGTGTGTCGTCTATTTACAAGGTGTAATTACCACACGCATTTACGACGCACGTTTACGACACGCATTACGTTTCAAGGAAGTCCCTGTCATAAAGGAAAAAGACACACATTTGCGTGTCGTAACCTTACAAAACGTATTTACGGCTGCCATTGCGTATCATTAAAGCCCATGTCAGGAAAGACCATGTCATAAATGAGGATGACACACATATTTGCATATCATAATTTTAAATCTTAAAAAAAATCTTATTTATAGATTTACTAATTTTCAAATTAAATTTGTATTTAATGTCTCATAATAGAAAATAAAATAACATATACAAAAAATACAATCCATTGCATAATATTTAATGTCATACAGATAATCGTTCCATGGAAATATAAAACAAATCAATAGAAGTTGTAACAAAAATTTACAAAGTAATTAGATACAAGAAATATAAAAAAAAAATATATACCCTCAGATGCTTTTCAAAGTCTAATATCAAATATCAAATCTTCAACTCACTTCTCCATTTTGTCCTTAGGTTCTCTAAGGGCAGGTGGCTAGATGTAGTCGAAGACTATGACTGTGAGATCTTTTACCACCCAGGTAAAGTGAACGTGGTGGTGGATGCTCTAAGCCGCAAGCCAGCTGGATCTTCCACTTTGGCAATATGTATGAGGATATCAGTGGATTCTCCACTTGTAGGCTTGATTAGAGAGGCTAAGGCTGAGGGCATGCGACCAGAGAACTAGAAACTGGATAGGATCAAAGGTGAGAACACCCGATTTGTGTAGGATAGCCAGGGATTATTGATTCGATGCGGTCGAGTATGGGTTCCGATGTCTGGTGGGGTCAGACAGATGGTTATAGAGGACGCTCATAAGTCTTACTTGTCTATTCACCTAGGAGCCACAATGATGTACCAGGATTTAAGTTAGAGATATTGGTGGTCGTGCATGAAGCAAGAAATCGCTTGGTATGTCGAGAGGTGCTTGACCTGTGAGAGGACCTTGGATCAATCGATTTATCAAACAATGACTAATAATAAGAAGAGAACGATGAAGTATCACAAAGAGCTTTCACTAAGAATGATAATCTCACAAAGAGATTATTGTTCGCACAAAGCGACTATTAGGGTTTGTGAAAGACAACCTCTTCACAAACTCGTACAAAAGACTATATAGAACTATTATAGACAATCCCTACAAATCAGGGATGTTCCAGCTAACTAATATATGACAACTATGGAAAAAAGATAAATACTAAATCTGTTACATCTATGACAATATATATACTGAACAACTTGTATGTTGACACTGATGCTGATGCTGACGCCGGATTACATGCTGATGCTAAGGGATAAGTTTCAAACATCATCATATTATAAGGTTCGACCTTACAATCTCCCCCAATATCATGATGTTCAAAACAACAGCTATACGAGAACACCTCTGGACAAAAATTCTTCATACTCAACTTCAGCTTCTATTTTCATAGGCCAATAAGGACTATCCAGCAGCTCCTGTCTTCTATTCAGCAACTCCATAGCAATCAGTATGTGAAACTCTCCAGATAGATCTTGATGACTCATGCACATTTGTCTTAAGCCAACAAGATATGCTGTTGGAGCTCCTGGAATTTCTGTGGTGCGCTGAAAACACATTCTTCTGTTTTTATCAAGATAAAACATTCCATGTTCAGGAACAGATATGAACTTATGCTGAACCGGCTCAACACCGATAGGAAGAGAGTTGTTTATTCCTTCAGCACCAAAATTTAGAACCAACACATCTTCACTATCAACTTGAAATTTAGCCTTGCTGCTGAGAACGCTGCATAGGAACAAGATCCAGACGCTGAACTTTCTTGATCAGTAAATGGAGAGCACATGTCAGTTCTGAGGAGAGGGCCAAAGTTTGCTTGGATGCTAATTCGAGCAATTCCATCCATTCAGAATATCCGTATCTGATCAGCTCATCCCTCTTGACAACTTCAGTGTATGGATGTTGAGGACCTTGACGAGTGATTAGCAAAGTAAGAATTTTCTCGTTATGAGGTTTAGAAGCTGTAACTTTGATGATCTTATCATTGCTCACTCGTCGTTTAAGAACATCTTGAAACCTCTTGCGATCAATCCTGTTGAGAACATTTTCAGTCCTTGACTTGCAGCTACTGGGAGGAGGCTGGGAAGATTTGGATTTGGACTGATATTCTAAGAACTTTTGCATTTGAGCTTTAAAGGATCCTTTGGCCTGAAGTTTATGCTGAATGAGAGATTCATCAGCTTGAGTAATATTCTTTAGAAGTTGAGCTTGATTGGCTTCATCAACAATTTGCTTAAATTGATCAGGAGACATGTTCCATTCAGCTGCCAAGTTGGATATGCTGACGATGGACTTAGGTTTCTTGCTAGGCAGAGAAGTATCAATGCGTGAAGAAGCCAATTGAGTATCTGCTGCCTTGCGATTTCAAGATAGAGGTTGAGTATCCTCACTAGGTACATCTAAATCTTCTTCTTGAACTGGCATAATGGGATCAATGAATTTCATATCTAGCATTTGACATTCATCATTATGTTCATCTTCATTATCATCTGAGGCTTCTCCTTGAACTGGAATAGTGGGATCAATGAAGTTCATGTCCAGCATCTGACACTCATCATCATGCTCACTATCTTCAGCAAGCTTTTCAGTATCTACTGGTCTATCAGACTCATCAGCAACTGGTCTATCAGACTCGTGCACAGGCTATGGTGGCTCAGTCTGGACTAAAATGTTATCCTCAGATCTGAGCATTACATATTCAGTTTCTCTATCTTTTTTATCATCGTCAGTTTCTCCCCCCTTTTTGATCATCATCATGTTGTAGGCCAGGGGAAGGAGTTGGCAAGAGAACTCCCTTCAACTGATGGACATCAGCCTCAATTCGTAGAAGATGCTGACTCATGTCCCGAGTCAGTGTCAGAAGCTCATTAAATGTTGAGGCCGGTATATGAAGGAATTGAGTACCTGGAACTTCTTGTGAGCGATGTTGCTCCCCCGAAGAAGGTTGCTCCCCCTGGGATGGGTGCTCCCCCTAGGATGGTTGCTCCCCCTGAGATGGTTGCTCCCCTTGAGCTGAGTGAACTCTCTCAGTGACAGGAGAGTATGATGAGAAAGTTGAGGGGGAGAGATGACAACCGTCCTATGATTCAGCTTGTTGATCAGCATGATCTTCGTTGTTACCATCAGCTCCTTCATTAGTATCAGCGGTTAGTGAAGGAATAGTATATGGATTTGCAATCCATTCTCTCATTCGATAAGAGATGCCAATGTTAGTTTCCATTGGATCATCTTGATACATTCGCACTGACATGCGTGGACATTGGATGGGGTTTCCAGAGTGGGATTAGTAAGCTTCAGCGAAAAATTTATCTAGCACAAGAGCAATCCAGCATGGAAAGGGAAGATGATCAGCGCATACATTTGCACGAAGAAGTTGGACAAGCTGATCAAAAAAGAAAGCCCCATAATCAAGTCGTTTGTTGAGAAGAAGGGAACAGACAACTTGTTGCTCATAAGTGCTCGGTTGATCACCATTGCGAGATTTGTGACCCACACATTTACACAGAGCCCCGGTGAAGAACTTCCATCTTGGAGTCATACATTGATGTAGAATGAGATTTGATCGAGCACCAGCCTTTGAGTGATCATAGCCCAGTTGATCAAAGAGGTGTCGACAGCGTTTAATAGTTGGAAGCTCAGAGAATGGTTCAAAGATTCGTAACCTGAGCGCAACACTGAGGAGGTCAGCGGAGATAAAAACTGAGTGTCTGCCACGGCCAATAGTCCCGGACATGACGTTGTTCTCATCATTAATCGTTGCAGTGTAGTAGAACTCACATACTTGTTCGGGAAAGAACTCTGATGGAACGTCACTGATTGCGTATCGAAGTCGGCAGGAGACTAAGAAATTGACAAAATCATCAAGTCAAAGACCTCGATGAACATCTGGTATATCAGGGTTGAAAACGATGTTTGTGGCTTTGATGTATATGGGAAGAGGAGGAGAGTTTGGAGCTGGGACGACTCTTCTTGAAGTGGAGGAGAAGGTGAACAGTGATGCCGCCATTGAAGAAGTTTAGGATTCTAGGGTTTTTTTTGTTGTAAAGAGAGAGAGAAGTTTAGAGGAAGGTAAAAAGGTTTGGGCAAGAGATGAAAAGGTTTAAATAGGGAATAAACGGTTTAAAATAAAGTAATGATTATCTTTATCGAAAATAACTGCATATCTTGATAGACTGTCAAATCAAAAAAATAGCCGTTGGGTAATTAGAGCTGTTGTACTGAAGAGGAAACGACAATCAGTGACTGCAGAAGCGCTGAGATAATTATCATGGAAAGTTACATGCTGAAAAATAGTTTATCGTCAATTCAAGGTACAACTTGCTTGTTTAGGGTTAGCAAGGTGATTGGTGCGTGTGATAGATACTAGTTTAATTATCTAACCATCGACACAGAGTGTCGAGTCTTTATCGGTGAGTGGTATTTCTTACTGAATCATTAGACACTGAGTGAGAAGAAGGTGAAGAGAAGATTGTTGCGTGTGATAGACCTTGGTGTTTTGGTCTAACCATCAACAAAGACTGTTAGATTCTCATCAGCATGTTGTCATGCTAAATCACAGAATCAGTGTAAGATTGGTAAGAGGGGATAGTTGCGTGTGATAGAGCTTGGTGTTTTGTCTAACCATCGGCAAAGAGTTTCAAGTTGTTATCAGTGTATGGTTTAATACAGTGAATCATTCAACTTTAGTTTAGAAGATTTGTAGAAGAGATAGAGATAAGAGATCATACAATGTACTCAGCATGCTAAACATCATCAGCGCATCATAATCAGCACAAAAAAATTAGTTTATAAGACAATAGCAAACATTAGTAAAACAATTTTTCAATCGAGAGTGATCATTCAAAGTTCGCCAATGATGTGAGCATTAGTTTGAGTATCCAGGGACTTGGTAAAAATGTCAGCTAGTTGATCGGAAGTCTTGACATGTGTTAAAACAACCTTGCCCTTCTCAACATTGTCTCTGATGAAGTGATGTCTGATCTCTATATGCTTTGTCTTTGAGTGCTGAACCGGATTCTGTGTGATCTGAATGGCATTGGTGTTATCATAGAATATAGGAGTCTTTGTGAATTTAAGCCCATAGTCTAAGAGTTGATTTTGAATCCATAAGATTTGAGCGCAACATCTCCCAACTGCAACATACTTAGCTTCTGCAGTGGAGATAACTACCGAGGTTTGTTTTTTGCTGGACCAGCTGATTAGTCGATTTCCAAGGAAATGACATCCACCTGACGTGCTCTTCTTGTCTAAGTTGCAACCTGCATAGTCGGAATCAGTGTATCCAAAGATTTCAAGCGCTGAGTCACGAGGGTACCATAGTGCCAAGTTCTGAGTGGCCTTTAAGTATCGAAAGATGCGTTTGACTGCAATGAGATGAGACTCCTTGGGATTAGCTTGGAATCTAGCACAGAGAATGGTTCCAAACATGATATCAGGGCGACTTGCAGTGAGGTAGCGAAGAGATCCAATCATTCCTCGATAAAGAGAGTGATTAACATCAGCGCCGGTGGGATCAGCGTGTAGCTTATCGGTCTTGGACACCGGAGTAGAAGCTGGTTTGCGGTCGCTGAGAGAATACTTAACTAGCATGTCAGAAATGTATTTACTTTGACAAATTGAAATACCTGATTTTTGTTGCTGAACCTCAAGACCTAAGAAGAAAGTCATATTCCCCATCATGCTCATTTCGAACCTTTGAGACATGATCTCAGCGAATTCTTTGCTCAGCATCTCATTTGGAGATCCAAAGGTGATGTCATCGACATAGGTTTGAATAAGAATCAATTCTGAGCCTTTCTGTTTGATGAAGAGAGTATTGTCAATTGCTCCTCTTCTATAGGCATTTTCAAGAAGATATGATGTCAGTGTCTCATACCAGGCCCTGGGAGCTTGCTTCAGTCCATATACAGCTTTATCTAGTCGGTACACATAGTCAGGGTGCTCTTTGTCTTCAAAGCCTGGGGGTTGTTTGAGAAATACTTCTTCTTGTAACTCACCATGAAGAAATGCCGTTTTTACATCCATTTGGTAGACAATGCAGTTCATGTGTAACAGCCCGGAATTTCAGGTATTTCTTTAAATTATTTTTGGGGCACATTTAGGAGGGGACTCGGCGAGTTGGTGCATGACTCGTCGAGTAGGGCCAAGGTCTTGGTCGCAGATACGCGACTGGACTCGACGAGTCCAATAGGGACTCGGCGAGTCGACGCTGTTCAGCTGAACCCTAGCCGTTTCGATTCTGAATCGTATATAATGATCTTATGGCCGTCATGTCGCGTCTTTTGGCCGATTGAAGATACCTTGGGAGTTTGTGGGCATCTGGAGCAAGAGTGAGGGCTAGAGGAAGCTTGAAGAGATTGTTAGACAAGGAGAGGCAAGGTGGTGATCAAAGGAAGTCCAAGGAGTCGAGTACTGGAGGTTGGGGACACAGGGAACACGTTTCCAGGTAATCTTCGGATCATAATCTGTAGCTTTTACGTTGTATGCGAATTTAGGGTTTAGGAAACCCATTTAAGGAATTGTTAGATTATAGTGTTGTTACAAGTGTTTAAAAACCCCTGTAATAGTATATGTGAAAGTCCAGGAAGCCCCATATCTATATACTTCGAAATCATGCGAAATACAGGAGGCAGCGGATTGACTGCATGGCGAGGACTCGCCGAGTTGATCAGACTCGGCGAGTAGCTTGAAGATTCACTAGGACTCGCCGAGTTGTTCTTCAGACTCGGCGAGTAGCTTGAAGATCTACTAGAACTCGTCGAGTCGTTCTTTAGACTCGGCGAGTGGAGTCGGGTGTCTATACTCGCCGAGTTGCCCTTTGCACTCGACGAGTCCGGTCAAGATTGACCGTTGACCTGTATGTAACTTAGTAGGGTCAGTTGTCTTGTTTGATAAGATCATTAATAAAGGTATGTGGTATTATAGGGAACCTGCGGATTAGCGGATCGAGTGCGAGTAGCTCGAAGGGTTTATAGCTTGCATACTACGAGGTGAGTCTTCTCACTATACTTCACCCGGAAGGGTTTGACTGTGAGACCGGAAGGTCGTATGTGTTATATTTATGCTATGTCTAGAGAGGTAGATGCTTTATATGTGATGTATGCTTATATGTGATGTATGCTTATACGGGCCGGAAGGCGAGACTTTATGTGATAGAAAGAACGGTATGATGTATGACTTATGTGTTATGTGCGTTATGTTACATGTGTTATGTTTTATACTATTATGGGCCGGAAGGCAAAATACTATGGGCCGGAAGGCAATTTAATACGGGCCGGAAGGCGATATGTTATGGGCCGGAAGGCGATTATGTTACGGGCCGGAAGGCAATGTTATGTGGACCGAAAGGTCCGGGCCGGAAGGCGTATGTGGGTAAGTCGTATACTGGGGAACTCACTAAGCATTTATGCTTACTAGTTGTGTTTATGTTTTTCAGGTACTAGTGATGACCGTGGGAAGGCGCCGGCGTGACACGTACACACTGCCATTGTTGAAGATCTTGGAGATTTATTATTTATACTTTTGCAATAAACTTGGAATAAACTCTTTTGTCGAATAATGATGTTTTGTTTTAAATGAAAATTTTATTTGAAAATTTGAGCTGTTACAATTGGTATCAGAGCCTTGGTTTGAGGGATTCGGGTGTACTTTTGGGTGCAACTGAACTCAGACCGGGGATTTGAGGAAAAACCTTTTTAAATAATAAGGACACAACATTTTATAAATGGTAAGGCGGTAAAACAAGGATGGAACAGTGTGTACGAGCAGCCAGCGTCCGAACGGTAAAGATCCCCAGAATACCTTACGATGTTATGTTATGCACTGAATTATGAATTGTTATGCATGCTAGAAGACTAGGTATACATGATAGGACTAGAATTGCCTGTTTTGTGATGCCTTAGTCTAGGGAGATTGCTTATATGAGATATTTGGTAGCGTGCAAGTAGATAGTGCATACTAGAGGTAGAGTACTCATTATTCGGGATTTGGGGAGGAAGATTTGGGACGAATACTGATACGGTGTGGTCGGTAGTATTGGGCCCGTACTACCGAAGGCACCGGATCAGTGGAAGACTCAAGTAAGAATCCCTGGAAATCGGAGACTGGGTAGGGCGCGTATCGAGTACAATTGTACTTGGTGGAGTCTCTGATGATTTTATGTTGTATTTCAGAGACATCATGGTTATCACACGCAATGGGGCGAGTTCGAGCGGTGCGAGTGACGAGGAGATTCGTCAGATTATTCAGGAAGAGGTAGCTGCGGCGGTCCGGGCTGAGATCCCGGAGATGTTTGGGTCTATTAAGACCACGCTGATGGAGGAGTTTGAGGAGCGGTACGCCGCACTTACTGAAGCTGCAGTTGCTGCCGCTACCGCAGCTGTGGCTGCTGCCAGGCCGCAAGGGGGTGATTCATTACTATTCAGGGAATTCAGCAACACGAAACCCCCTGAATTTGATGGGACGCAGGATCCGATTGCAGCTATGAGGTGGATCGCCGACATCGAGGGGTGCTTCTATACTTGCTCATGCCCGGAGCACTTGAGGGTACGGTTCGCCTTGAACCAGCTCCGTCTGGGAGCGAAGGATTGGTGGAAGTTCGTGACGGCGAACTTCACTCAGGCAGAGATTTCGGCGGTGACATGGGAGAGGTTTACGGAGATGTTCAGGGACGAGTACGTTCCCCCGGTAGAGAGGGAGCGATTGATTCAGGAGTTCTTGACCCTTAAGCAGGGTACTGATTCCGTGGCAGTGATCACACGGAAGTTTCATGAGAGGGCAATGTTCTGCCCCGAGCTGGTATCTACGGAGCAGTCGCGGATGAGCCGCTATTTGGGTGTTTTGAAGAGGGAGATCCGGGAGTTTGTGTCAAACTCCACCTATCGTACTTTCACTGAGCTTCAGGCGAACGCCAGGAAGCGCGAGATCGAGTTGGAGACTCAAGCGAGGGAGGAGGCTGAGTCTCGGCAGGTGGATCGACGGCCGGCCCAGTCTCAGCCGGCAGCCAAG